AGAGTCCCGCTGCTTCACGCGTCTGAGCGACTCTTGGCGTACAGAGTTTGGCGACGACGCTGAGCTCCCCGACTAGGTGGAGCTGCTTAGGCAGAGGGTAGATATCTTTGCTCTTGACTATGATGCTATTCTCACCGCAATGTATGCATTGTCTACTAGTGCCGAGGGAGTCTGTCACCTGTGTGTGCCGCTTGACCCCGGTATCCAGTCTGCTGCTCTAGGTGCTGGTGAGGCTGCTGCTCTAGGTGCTAGTGCGTCTGCTGCCCCAGGTGCTGGTGAGTCTGCTCTCTCAGGTACCACGTCGGCTCAGGCCTTACACACCTTCACCCTTGACTCGGGTGCTTCCGGCTCCTTCTTTCGAGACCGCACCACGCTTACGCCGCTTAGTCGTCCGGTTGCGGTCTCCCTCGCGGACCCCTCTGGGGGTCGTGTCCTTGCTAGCTTCTCCACTGTCTTACCGTGCCCGGCAGCCCCCTCTGGCACCCTGTCAGGTCTCTACCTCCCCTCGTTCTCTACGAACCTGGTGAGTGGAGCTGATCTATAGGATAGGGGGGTTGACCAGTTCACTCCTGCGAGTCAGCGGGTGACCCACTGCACGTGTGCTCGGACAGGCCGACACTTGGCCACGTTCACCCGTCGGCCGGGGTCGAGCCTATACACACTTACTACTGAGTCTCCTCCGACTGCCGAGTCTGGTCAGGTAGCTATGTCGAGTCAGGTGTTTGCTGCAGCGTCCAGGTCTGGTCCTGAGTCTGCTCCCTGCTCGTGTCGTCTCCTGTCCCACCAGACTCTCCTTTGGCACCACCGCCTTGGTCACCCCTCCCTGCCTCGTCTCCGAGGCATGGCCTCCCGTGTCCTTGTCTCAGGTCTTCCCTGGTCTCTCCCTCCCCTACCTCTGCGGCCGGCCCCTACCTGCGTCCCCTCCATCGAGGGGCGGCAGCCCGCCGCTCCTCACTCCTTCTAGTTTCCTCCGACAGAGGCTACACTGCAGACTCTTCACATGGACGTGTGGGGCCCCGCCCACGTCAGTGGACAGGGGCACGAGCGTTACTTCCTGTTGGTGGTTGACGACTACTCGCGTTACACCACAGTCTTCCCCTTGCGCAGCAAGGGTGACGTCACTGAGGTGTTGATCGACTGGATCCGCGCAGCTCGTCTCCTGCTCAGAGAGAGTTTCGACTCGGACTTTCCTATTCTGCGTCTGCACTCTGACAGAGGCGGGGAGTTTTCCTCTGCCCGTCTGGGAGCCTTCTGTCGTGCACAGGGCATCTGTCAGACCTTCACGCTTCCGGCCTCTCCACAGCAAAATGGGATTGCTGAGCGCCGCATTGGCATGGTCATGGACGTCGCTCGTACGTCCATGATCCATGCGGCTTCCCCCCATTTTCTGTGGCCGTTTGCGGTTCAGTACGCAGCGCATCAGCTCAACCTTCAGCCCTGGGTCTCCTTGCCTGAGACCTCCCCCACCTTGCGGTGGACGGGGAAGGTTGGCGATGCGTCTGCATTTCGGGTCTGGGGATCTCGGGCGTTTGTCCGCGACTTGTCTGCGGACAAGCTGTCCCCCCGTGCTGTTCCCTGCGTCTTCCTTGGCTTCCCCCCTGACGCGCCTGCCTAGCAGTTTTACCACCCCACCTCGCGGCGCGTTCTGTCCTCCCTAGACGTCACCTTTGACAAGTCGATGCCTTACTACCGTCTCTTCCCCTACCGCACTACGCCCCTCCCCCCGCCGCCGCTCTTCCTTGCGCCAGGTCCTCCCCCGGTAGACCCCCTCCCCCCTTAGGGTCCTGCCCCGTCAAGTGTGTCTCAGGTAGACGCAGTCAAGCCTGTCGAGGTAGCTGTTGACTCTGGTGCTGCTCGAGGTGCTGTGCCTGCGGGTGCCGCGTCTGGTGGTGCGGAGCCTGGGGGTGCTGAGTCCAGGGGTGCGGAGCCTATGGGTGGTAAGTCTGGGGGTGCTGAGCCTGGGGGTGCTGAGTCTGGGGGTGCTGAGCCTGGGGGTTCTGAGCCTGGGGGTGCAGAGCTTGGGGGTGCTAGGTCTGCTCGTGTGACCTCTCGCGGTGCTTCGTCGAGGCTGGAGCTGCTCTCTCCGCAGGAGCTGCGTGAGTGGTTTGCCCGGCGCTGGAGCCGTACTGCTAGAGCCGGAGGTACTACTGTTGCTGCAGGTCCCGGAGGTGCTCGTACTGGCGGTACTGGAGCTGCTGGGGCTGGGGGTGCTGCTGGAGGTACTGCTGGAGCTGCTGGCGGTACTGGAGCTGCCGGTCCTACTGGAGTTGGTGCTGCTGGAGCTGCTTGAGTTACTGGAGCTGGAGCTGCTGAAGGTGTCGGCGCTGGTGGTTCTGCTGGCGCTGGTGGTTCTGCTAGCACTGGTGCGTCTGAGGGTGCTGGAGTTGGCTCTGTTGGCGCTCGCGGTGCTACTGACACTGGTACTGCCGCTGCGGGTACTGGTGCTGTCCCTGTTGATTCTAGAGGTGCTGTGCGGCCGAGGCCGTACTTCGTTCCGCTCCTTGAGCAGGCTCTTGGTCTTCCGCCTTCTACTAGTCCTGCCCCTCCCTTAGCGTGTCCACCGCCTGTCCTGTCGCAGTCACAGTTACAGCCCGCCTCCCCCCTTCGTGCTCCTTCTCCCTACACTGGTCCTACTGGAGGTCTTGCTGAGCGTCGTGAGCCTGCGTCTCGTCCTGCGTCGCCTGTTTGTGCTGCTCGCACTAGTAGTCGTACTGCGCGTCCGCGTCCTCCTGCAGTCCCAGGCACACACCAGATGGCACTGTGTCCTTCCACTGCTCCTTTGCGTGTCCCGTTGCCGTCTCCTCTAGAGTCCTCTCTTCCTAGTCTTGCTGACCCGGAGTCTGACTCTCTTCGTGCTGCCAGTCCTACTGTCACGCGTCTCCTGGCTACTGTTGTCACTGACCCTTCATTTGAGTCCACTCCTAGTTGCTGAGCTTGTCGACTTCGCTGCTTGCTGTCGTCTAGACTACGCTGCTAGTTTTGTTGCTAAGTCTGAGTCTGTCTGTCCTCCGTCCGTCGGGGGTGAGTGTGCTCTTAGCACAGACGTCGTTGAGGACATGCAGGAGGAGTTCCAGTGTTTTGTTGCTGCTTTGCCTCATCTCGTGTCCACGCTGATTGCCCCTGAGGGAGACCCGGATGCACCAGACATCCCGACTCCTCGATCGTACGTTGAGGCGATTGAGGGTCCCTACTCCTCACAGTGGCAGTCAGCGATGGACGCTGAGATGGCTTCCTGGAAGTCCACAGGCACCTACGTCGACGAGTTTCCCCCACCTGGGGCGAACATCGTCAGTGGCATGTGGATTTTCAGGGTGAAGCGGCCGCCGGGTTCTCCGCCTGTCTTCAAGGCGCGTTACGTTGCTCGAGGTTTCAGTCAGCGGCAGGGAGTTGACTACTTTCAGACCTTCTCTCCCACCCCAAAGATGACCACTCTTCGGGTGCTGCTGCACATAGCCGCTCAGCGCGACTACGAGCTTCACTCTCTTGACTTCAGCACTGCTTTCCTACAAGGCAGCCTGCACGAGGAGATCTGGCTGCGCCGCCCACCTGGCTTCACAAGATCGTTTCCCCCTGGTACCGAGTGGAGCCTCCGGCGGCCAGTCTACGGTCTCCGCCAGGCGCTCCGTGGGTGGCACGACACACTGAGGACTACGCTTTCGGCTCTTAGGTTTGCTCCTTCTACTACCAACCTGTCGCTGTTTCTACGCACCGACACCTCTTTGCCGCCGTTCTACATCCTCGTGTACGTCGACGACTTGGTCTTTGCCACTGCTCACACTGCTGGACTCGCCCACGTGAAGTCCGAGCTGTAGAAGAGACACACGTGCACAGACCTGGGTGAACTGCGCAGCTACCTTGGCTTGCAGATCACCCGGGAAAGAGCACAGCGCACCATTACCCTGACTCAGTCACACATGGTGCAGCAGGTCCTTCAGCGCTTCGACTTCACGTACTCCTCGCCTCAGGCCACTCCTCTGTCTACTCGCCACTCGCTCTCAGCTCTGCCTTCGGATGAGTCCATAGAGCCGAGTGGCCCGTACCTAGAGCTTGTTGGCTGCCTCATGTACCTGATGACCTGCACACGATCTGACCTTGCATACCTGGAGCACATAACGAAGCACATTGCTCTCCGCTACTTCCTTGCTCGTGAGCTGCAGCAGCATGGTCTGCTGCACCTTGCTTACGTGGCCTCTAAGGCCAACACTGCTGATATCTTTACTAAGGCACTTCCGCTTGGTGATTATCAGCGCTTCAGTACTATGCTAGATCTTGTGCCTACTTGGCCTCACTTGCTCACTTCTTGACCTTGCTTGTACTGTGATCTTTCTATACCTGCACTTGCTTGTTTACCTTTATATATGATCTTGCATGTGAACTGGCCTTTTGGCCTTGCTCTTGTGCTTGGATTGTGTGGTGACGTTCTGATCCACCCTGAGCTTGCTTTGCTTTGCTTGACTGGTCTTGTGACCTCTTTTTCTCCCCCACTTTGCCTATGGTGGTGTGTCAAACTTATATGCTATAGTCTGTGTAGGCTGTAGTGGGGTAGACTATATGGGGTACAACATTTCTAGGTTTTCCTACTTGTACCCACCTACTTGCTAGTTCATTCATTCCTCATTTCTTCACAGTCGCCACCCTTCCGCGGCCCCATCGCCGCCCATTCCGCGGCCCCATCGCTGCCGCCTGCCGGCATGCCCGGGACCGTCTCACTTGCCTGGTAAGAGCTGCGCCTCTGCCACTTCACTGCCCTGCCCCACTGTACTCACTGCCTGTCTACTGCTATCATGGCCACCCCTAGTGTTCTCACCTTTGACGCTGAAGGTCGGGCAGTTGACTTTGAGGTCTTGGTAGATGATCTGCAGCTTTTCCTATAGTGCGATAGGGCAGACGGTCTCTCCTTGTTTGACCTCACCTCTGGTGCCTCTCTTGCCCCTGCTGCTGATGCTGACGCCACTGTTCGCTCACAGTGGGCCGCGCGCGATGCTTCTGCTCGCCTTGCTATGCGCCGCCACTTACCGACCGCTGAGCGCGCCCATTTTAGCCAGTACAAGAGTGCTAAGACCTTGTACGACGCTGTAATTGCACGCTACTCTTCCCCTGCCACTGCTGCTCTTAGCCGCCTCATCCTGCCATACCTCTTCCCTGACCTCGCCGCTTTTCCCATAATCGCTGACCTCGTTACGCACCTTCGCTATAGTGACGTTCGCTACCGTGCTGCGCTTCCTGCTGAGTTCTGCGCCAAGAACCCCCCCCCTATGTACATCACCCTTAACTACATAGTCACCTAGCTCCCTGACACCCTTCGCTCGGTCAGGGACCACTTCCTCTCTGTTTGCCCCACCACACTCACCTTTGACCTCCTCGAGGAGCGCCTCCTAGCAGCAGAGAAGAGTATAGTCGCTGTAGGAGCCTCTCGTGGTGACCCTCGCACCCCCGTCTTTGAGGGGTGCTCCCCATCCCCCCTCTTGCCCTCTGTTGCCTCTGCTGCTGCCGCCGACCTTGTTGGTCTTGAGTCAGTCGGCGCGGCATCTGCCCCTAGCGGGAGACGCCACCCAGGCAAGGGCAAGGGGGGCAAGGGCGCTGGAGGAACTGGCGGGGGCGGTGGAGGCGGCGGTGGAGGCGGCGGAGGGAGTGGGGGTGGCGGTGGGAGTGGTGGCGAGGGTGGGGGCGCTAGTGGCGGCAGTAGAGGTGGAGGAGGCGGCGGTGGTGGTGGCGCGGGTGGAGGTGGCGGAGGTGGAGGCGGTGGTGTGGGTGGCGGCGGCGGAGGTGGAGCTGGTCGGGGCGGCTCGGCACAGAGAATCGGTTCCGGTGGTGGTCAGCGCCAGCAGCAGCAGCAGCAGCGCACTAGTGAGACCCCTCCCCCCCAGCAGCTTCGTGAGTGGTACGCTGCTCGTCAGCGGGGTGGGGTTGCTGGCCCCTGTACCTACGTTCTCCGCATCGGCGAAAGCGCGGGTGAGCAGTGTAGGGGTCCGCACTCCACCCTGCGCTGCTTCGGCCGCCTGACGGACGCGTGGCGTCATCAGTTCCCCGACGCTACTGAGATCCCTCGCTGGGGCGAGCTGTTTAGGGCGGGTGTTGCGATCTTTGATCTTGATTATGATGCAATTCTTGCTGCCATGTATGGTGTGACTAGTAGTGATGAGGGTGACTGTTACCGGTGTTTTCCGCCTGACCCGGGCATTGAGGCTGCTGCTCTAGGTGTTGGTGAGGCTGCTGCTCTAGGTGCTAGTGAGTCTGCTGCCTCAGGTACTGGTGAGTCTGCGCTCTCAGGTACCGCGTCGGCTCCGGCCACCCACACCTTCAACCTTGACTCGGGTGCTTCCCGCTCCTTCTTTCGAGACCGCACCACGCTCACGCCGCTTAGCCGGCCAGAGGCAGTCTCCCTGGCAGACCCCTTTGGGGGTCCTGTCCTTGCCCGGCGCCGGAGGAGTGCTGCTGGAGCTGACGGCACTGCGGGCGCTGGAGGTTCTACTGCTGCTGAGGGTGCTGGTGCCGCGGGTCGCGGATGTGCTCGTACTGGGAGTACTGGAGCTGCTGGGCCTGCGGGTGCGTCTACTACTAGAGCTGGTGGACCTACTGCGTCTTCTGGTGGTCCGGCTGGAGCTGGCGCTGTTGGGGGTGTTGGCGCTCAGGGTGCTTCTGGTGCTGGTGCCCCTGACGGTGCTGGAGTTGGCGCTGCTGGAGCTGGGGGTGCTGCTGGCGCTGGAGCTGTCCCTTGTGGTGCTGGTGCTGCCGTTCGTGGTGCTAGCGCTTTTTCCTGGTGGTTCTTGGGGTGCTGCACGGTCGCGGCCGTACTTTGTTCCGCTCCTTGAGCAGGTTCTTGGTCTTCTGCCCTCCACTAGTTCGGCTCCTCCCTTAGGGTGTCCACCGCCTGTCCGGTCTGAGTCACAGCTACAGCCTCCCTCTCCTCTACCTGCTCCATTTCCCTACACTGGTCCTACTAGAGGTCTTGTTGAGCGTCGTGAACCTGCGTCTCGTCCTACGTCGCCTGTCCGTGCTGCTCGCACTGGTGGTCGTGGTTCGCGTCAGCGTCCTCCCCCCGTCCCCGGCACGCACCGGATGTCTCTGCGTCCGTCCATAGCTCCTCTGCGTGCCCCTTTGCCTTCTCCGCCTGAGTCCTCTCTTCTTGCTCTTGCTGACCCTGAGTCGGACTCCCTTTGTGCTGTCAATCCTACTATCACGCGTCTCCTTGCTACTGTCGTCACTGACCCTTCCTTTGAGTCCACTACGGCGTCTGCCCTAGTTGCTGAGCTTGTCGACTTCGCTGCTCGCTGTCGTCTAGACTACGCTACTAGTCTGGTTACTGAGTCGGCGTCTGTATGTCCTCCGTCCGTCGAGGGTGAGTGTGCTCTTGGCACGGACGTCCTTGAGGACAGACAAGAGGACCTCCAGTGTCTTGCGGCTGCTTCACCTCACCTCGTGTCCATGCTACTTGCCCCTGAGGGAGACCCGGATGCACCAGACATCCCGACTCCGCGCTCTTACGCGGAGGCGATAGAGGGTCCTTACTCCTCTCAGTGGCAGTCAGCCATGGACGCAGAGATGGCTTCCTGGAAGTCCACACGCACCTACGTTGACGAGGTTCCCCCGCCTGGGGCGAACATCGTCAGTGGCATGTGGATTTTCAGGGTGAAGCGGCCGCCGGGTTCTCCGCCTGTCTTCAAGGCGCGTTACGTGGCTCGTGGCCTCAATCGGCGGCAGGGAGTTGACTACTTTCAGACCTTCTCTCCCACCCCGAAGATGACCACTCTTCGGGTTCTGCTGCACATAGCCGCTCACCGTGACTACGAGCTTCACTCTCTTGACTTCAGCTCTGCTTTCTTGAGGGCAGCCTGCACGAGGAGATCTGGCTGCGTCACCCACCTGGCTTCACTGGGACTTTTCCTCCTGGCACCCAGTGGAGCCTCCGGCGGCCAGTCTACGGTCTCCGCCAGGCACCTCGTAAGTGGCACGACACACTGAGGACTACACTTGCGGCTCTTGGATTTGCTCCTTCTACTGCCGACCCGTCGCTGTTTCTACGCACCGACACCTCTTTGCCGCCGTTTTACATCCTCGTGTACGTCGATGACTTGGTCTTTGCTACAGCTGACATTGCTGGACTCGCCTACGTGAAGTCCGAGCTGCAGAAGAGACACACGTGCACAGACCTGGGTGAACTGCGCAGCTACCTTGGCTTGCAGATCACCTGGGACAGAGCACAGAGCACCATTACCTTGACTCAGTCACACATGGTGCAGCAGGTCCTTCAGCGCTTCGGCTTCACGTACTCCTCGCCTCAGGCCACTCCTCTGTCTACTCACCACTCGCTCTCAGCTCTGCCTTCGGATGAGTCCGTAGAGTCGAGTGGCCCGTACCCAGAGCTTGTGGGCTGCCTCATGTACCTGATGACCTGCACACGACCTGACCTTGCATACCCTCTTAGCATTCTTGCACGCTATGTTGCTCCTGGGAGACACCGACCAGAGCACATGGCTGCAGCGAAGAGGTTGTTGCGCTACTTGTGCAGTACATCGGGCATGGGGCTAGTGCTTGGAGGGCGGAGTCCAGTGGTCCTCACTGGTCACGCAGACGCTTCTTGGGCTGACGACCAGGCTACGCAGCGGTCGTCACAGGGTTACACCTTCAGCCTTGGTTCCGGCTCTGTTTCGTGGCGGTCTACTCGCTCGTCTTCTGTTCTCGGCTCCAGTTGTGAGGCTGACATCTACGCGGGGGCCATGGCTGCATAGGAGCTACGCTGGCTCACCTACCTGCTGACTGACCTGGGAGAGCCGCCTCGTTCACCTTCAGATCTGTACGTAGACAACAAGGCCATGCTGGCCTTGTGTCGGGAGCACAAACTGGAGCACAGAATGAAGCATATCGCTCTTCGCTACTTTCTTGCTTGTGAGCTGCAGCAGCGCGGTCAGCTGCGTCTTGCTTACGTGGCCTCTGAGGCCAACACTGCTGATATCTTCACCAAGGCACTCGCGCCTTGTGATCATCAGCGCTTCTGTACTCTGTTAGGTCTTGTGCCTACCTTGCCTCACTTGCCCACCTCTTGACCTTGCTTGTACTGTTACATATATATGTGTGTACCTGCTCTTGCTTGTTTAGCGTTACATATATGTAATCATGCTTGTGAACTGGCCTTGTGGCCTTGACTTGTGCTCAGAATGTGTGGTGACGTTGTGATCCACCTTGAGCTTGCTTTGCCTTTCTTGACTGGTCTTGTGACCCCTTGTTCTCCCCCACTTTACCTATGGGGGTGTGTCAAACTAATATGATTTGGCCTGTGTAGGCTGTAGCGGGTTAGACACTAAGGGGTACACAATTCTAGGGTTTCATATTTGTATCTCTTTCATTCCTTAGTCATTCATTCTCGTTCTAATCTTCACAGACCGCTGCCTGCACTACCTCGCCCACACCCGAGATGCCGCCCTGGAGTTCAGCCGCGGTCCAAAGTTGCGGTGTCTGGTCGGCTATGCAGATGCTGACGACGCTGGTGTCAAGCAGAACTGCAGCAGCACGAACGGCTACGTGTTCGTCTTCGGCGGGGACGCCCTCTCTTGGACGAGTCAGCGCATCGAATATAAAACGTTCTCGTCAATCGAGTCTGAGTACATAGCAGCCAACGAAGCCGGCAAGTAGATGCGCCGACTTCGCTTCCTCCTCGTTGAGGTCCAGATGCTCGACGCAGAGAAGTCGACCGTGCTGCACGTGGGCAGCCCTTCGGGCATCACGGTCGTAGAGGGCTTGGGGCTCAAGTTCAACCTCAAGCATATGGAGCGACGTTACGCCTGGCTGCAGCAGATGGTGAAGCGCAGACAAATTTCTCTGCAATACATCCCGACCTCTGAGCAGCTGGCAGATTTCCTCACAAAGGCTCTGCATTTTCTGACTTTCAACCAGTGCTCCGTCGCAGTCGGCCAGGTTCGTCTTGCTGAAGTCGGCGACGACGACGTGCAGAAGAGGTGCCATGTTCTTCAATATGGCTAGTGCGATGGGCGAGCACGCTGGGTATTTACGTGGTCGAAGTATCCCCCTTGTACTCTACTACGTAGGCTCTACAGGTGGACCTTGCGCATATGTGTGCCCAAGCGTGAGTTGGGCAAGGGAGTGTCGAGGAGAAAAGGCCCCGCCCTTGCTTGGTCGAAGTAGACCATGCTTCCCGGAGCATAACGGTATGTAGACGAATTTGTTTCGTGGTCATCGGCGGCTTTGGGGACTTTCATCTGTGTGCGACGAGCCGTCTGTTGACGAAATTAATTAGTCAAGGTAGAAGTGTTTTCTTCTGCTCGAAAAAAGTGCCTTTCTAGGAGGCGCTCGTCGACAGGAATAAATCGGCGTCAAAGACGAGACTTGCTGGTCGACGGAATTGGCAAAATCGGCGTTTCGACGGATTGTTGGTTGACCGAATTGTGTTCGACGAGTGGTTCTTTGAGTAGAGCGTTTCTGGTCGGCTATTATTACATATCTCCAAAATTTGCAATGTGCGTGAATTTCGACCAATCGTGAAACAGGAAATTTCGACCAAACAAAAGCTTGGAACCTTTACTCCTCAAGAGAAATTGAATCAGTAAAGAAACTGAACCTGAAACACGTGTTTATTAACAGTAAAAATGTATACAACTGTCTTGTTGTGAAACCTGAGCAACGACCAAGTTAGGTAAAATATGCATATGCTTCTTGTTTCACATGCCGTTGCTGACTTGAGAAGGACAAGTGCTTGACAAGTGCTTGTCAAGGAACGTCAATGCGTGGTTCATTCTCTTTGCTATTTGGTTCTTCTTGCTTGTACCATATTCTTGTTCTATCAACTTTTCCTAGTGAAACTATGCTTGAATTTCACCAAGGCAACCAAGCTCATTCCTGAAATTTACTGCCAGGGCTCTGTCCAAGCGTCCTACGCTAGTCAGCTCTGTCAGAAACTAACGAGCAGGAATGATTGCATTGACATCAAACTGAGTACAAGTATAACCCTAATTGGGTTGTACCCCATGTAGGCTACCCCACTACAGCCTACACAACACAAGTAGCATTATAGTTTGACACACCCCCATAGGCGAAGCGGGGGAGAACAAGAGGTCATAAGACCAGTCAAGAAAAGCAAAGCAAGCTTAGGGTGGATCACAAAGTCACCACACACTCTGAGCACAAGCAAATGGCCACACGGCCGGTCCACATGCATGGTTATATAAAAGATAGCAAACAGTACAGTGATCACTACCTAGCAAGAGTAAGCATGCAGGTATATATATAGGTCACAGTACACACAAAGTCAAGCAGTGCACAAGTGAGGCAAAACAGGCACAAGGCCCAACACAGTATAAAAGCGGTGATGATCACAAGGCTGAAGTGCCTTGGTGAATATATCAGCAGTGT